TACAGACATGTGACTGATTTGGTACACTACATAACAAGCTCTGTATTGAACTCTCAACTGATGCTCCTAGTTGAATCTCTTGTGAAAATGTTCATATGATTATGGGAAAAGGATGTTTGTAATATCTCCAGAACATAAGCAAAGTTTGTCAAAAGTCCTATCCATATGCACTACCTGTCCCAATAAAAAGTCACTGTCTGGATTCGGCTAAGCGAAGAGGTCAGTGCCTTCCATTGGATAATAGGTCTAGGTTCAGCAACATTATGTCCCGGAAAATGAGGTCAGTTGCCTACCTGAATATACTGAATGATCAGTTTTTTCCCATCAATGGATTTTTTCCTTCCCTGATGGCATGAACATATTCCAAGATGACAATGCCAGGAGAGAGAGAGAGTGGTTCAGGGAGCATGAGGCATTATTTTCACACATGGATTGGTCACCACAGAGTACAGACCATAAACCCATTGAGAATCTTTGGGATGTGCTGGAGAAGACTTTACTCAGTGGTCCGACTCTCCCATCATCGCTACAAGTGGTGAAAAATTAATGCAACTCTGGACGGAAATAAATGTTGTGACATTGCATACGCTTATTGAAACAATGCTACAGGGAAGGTGTGCTGTAATAAAAGCTAAAGGTGATCCAACAAAATATTAGAGTCTGTGACTTTTTCTTGGCCAGGAAGTATACATTACATTATCTTATTCAAGAAGCAAGGTTCAAGAGACCACTAGCCTGGAGGAAATGCTGCTTCAGGCTCCCTCCAATACTGTACATATGAAAAGCCAAGGCATTTAGTTATGTAATCTGCTAAGGGGAGGCTCACAATTCAGGGTAATTTCTGGTTCACAATTCAAGGAGGCTTCAGCAGAGATGATGTGAAGAAATGTCCAGTTTTTTTATTATGCAAGCTACACTGAATGGAGGCTGAAGTGGCTTTTCCCCTAAATGTTGTGACATTGCATAAGCTTATCAAAATATTGCCATGGTGAATGCATGCAGAAATACTAGAGTGTCTGATTTTATACAGTATGTAGAAGACTTGAGGAAGGGGGCATAAACAAAGCTTGCGTTGTTTTGATTTAATGTCAATGGGCTGAATCATCCATGGCTTCCACTGGCACTCTAGTTAACTGATCTCTGCACTTTAATTTAACTTTCAGATCCTTCCATCTGCCACAGCCATTACAAAAGGGACATTGCTCTTGTTTCTAAACTTTTTTGGAGAATTTATCAAGAGGAGAAAGGCTCCCTTGTTTGGCTTTAGCATAACTGTGCTAGATAATAAATGAAGAGACTTTGCAACTAAAAGAGTATTGATCACCTCTATCACCTGAAAGAGATATAATCTGCCCATACCGGAAATATCAGTTCTGGAGACACTTTTAAAGTAAGTGGTTGGTGACATTACTCTGACCTTCAACCTATTTAGGGTTTGTGATCACAGTTAAAGTATCTTCTAATCATTACTTGTGGATACTTCTTGATATAGATATATAAATAAAGAAGATGTGACGTTCAATACTTTGAAAGCGCAGAGAACTCACAATGGCATTATATAATTACTCCAGATTCTGAAAGTCTCATTGAGAACATCTTATTCTATCTAGTTAGTGCTCTGCTGCAGACCCCATTTAACTAACTTTCCCGTGTGTCAGAACGCTGGTCCTTAGACATAAATTGGACCCTGTCCACCATGCGATAAATTTTCTCGACCTAGATTTCACCTTTCACAGTTCAGGCCCTCTATTTTAAGCTCTTATTAAAACTGCCCAGGACTTACAATATGGCAGCATATGATTTATATCAGCATTCTTCTTTCGAGCATTTGCTCCTTATAATGACCGGCAAACAATACTGGACATGCCCTCTGTCCGTGTGTCCCACAAATGATACATAAATACTATTTAATTACATCAAAGCCTAAATGAGTTTCAAACAAAAAGCAATAGAGCGTAACCCTTCGCTAAGTCCCTGGAGATAAGCGCTAATTTATGAAGCCGCTTTGACACAACAACACCCTTAAAATATTTGCATTATGTAAAAGTGAACCAACAGAACCTTTTTTTTTTAATGTGGTGAGAGCTGTGGCAGCTTCTCTGAGGTCCTGAGACTTGTCAACTGAACAATTACTGCTGTATAAGCCTGCATGGCAGATCGAGAAACACTATTAACATATACAAAAATCCCTACCATCCCAATGTTAAAGAACAACGAAGCGTAAGATAATATTCCCTATAGAAGAATCCAAAGATTGTCACATGTGTAGTAACTGAAAAAACTTTATATGTCCACTGACACGTACTATGCAACCCCATCATGGGCACTGCAGTAAAACTTACATGAAGAAGTATCTCCATTATTTTAACAGCATAGAAAATCTGACTTCAACCTTCATAAATTCAGATGCTCATTCAGAGGACATCCATTATTCAGAGTAAATATTGGCAAAAGCCGACTGGCAAAAGATACCGCCTGCCTCGCCACTCATTGATATGATATGGCAGAGCAACGAAGTGCGGCTAAGCAGAGATAGGCGCCACGTAAGGCCTCCCCAGCCTCAGCAAGTTGTTTACTGTATAAATATTATCACCACGCAGCTATATGATTAGATAAATAATCCACATTTCTCATTTTCTATCCGTCCCGGGAACACACAATAAAACCAACATCGCCGCCTGCGTTGTGTAGAAATCCTCAGTCACCGGTACAGCTCATCTAATTAAACATGTTTGAAGTGATATTATGTCAGCATTTGCAAAACCCAGAACATGCATTGAAAGGACTACATTAAGCATTTATGCATCATAAAAAAAATGATGCAAAAATATTGAACATAATTGAAACATACATAAGAAGATCCACTGATGGGACCTCAGCTGCATCCTGTTGGTTTGGAAGTTCAATGCTTTCTAAGATAGCTATTTTCATCTGAAATATACTCTAAGCCTGCCCTAACATAGCACTTCCATCAAACAAGGATCAGAGTGAAGCTTTGTGTTATTGGACAGACATTAGGGAACACAGTGTAGCATGCAGTCAGTTCAATCAGAACTTATATTAGCATGAGAGAGTCCTATGGTGACACATGGTAGGAGGGGGGCACATTATTGCAATGTGTCTACCTGTAATTAGCCAAAGCAGCAGTCTAGCTCTCGCCACATCTATGCCAGCGCTGACAATTACCGGGCAATTAAACATTAAAATTCTTTTCACGTAGATAATGTGAAGACAAATCTCTATCGCAGATGCAGTCACAGCTCAGGGCTTACCTGCTTGTAACAAACTGCATTAACCAAGGCTACCAGCACCCGTCTAGACACCCAGGAAAGCTCATCCCCATCCACACACATGACACTCCAGGAAAGGCTTTCATTTTCAAATCACAAACACAAAAATAAAAGGCAATCACGTGTTATATCTCCAAGCTCTCGTTCAATGTGAATTATGGAACCTATACTAGGGACAGAGTTGTTCATGCATGCAGCTGGTAAATCATTTGACAATTATCATCTTATATTTGGCTCAGCACTTCCATCAATCATTGGGTGCATAGGAACACACTGCAGAAGAGTGCGAAATTACACCAAGACCCAGAGGCAAAGACCTAAGCCCAGACCAAAGACCTCTCTGTCTACAGTATACAAAGTAAATACAATGGTATAACATGTGATTGTGCAGTGCCTAGTTCAGTTAAGACCTGAAACAATGTGTAGACTAGCTTAGTTATCACTGGCATCAATGTATAGTCTAGTTCAGTTATCACTGGGAATAATGTATAGACCAACTCAGTTATCACTTGCAACAATGTATAGACTAGTTCTATTATCACTGGGAATAATGTATAGACTAGTTCAGTTATCACTTGCAGCAATGTATAGTCTAGTTCTATTATCACTGGGAATAATGTATAGACTAGTTCAGTTATCACTTGCAGCAATGTATAGACTAGATCAGTGATCACTGGCAATACTATTAACCTAGCTTAGTGATTACCCGAAACAATGTACAGCCTAGCTCAGTGATTCCTGGCTATATTGTTTAGACTAGTTTAATGATCACTAGCAATTATGTAAAGCCAAGTTTAGTTATCACCTGCAACAATGTATAGGCAATACTATATAGCTCAGCTTTGTTTTCACCTGTAACAATGTATAGCTTAGCTCAGTGATCACTGGCAATGATGTTTAGACTAGTTCAATGGTTACTGACAATAACGTATAGCCCAGATTAGTAAATACAACAATGATATATAAAATGGTTCAGTAATCACTTGCAACAATGTATAGATTAGCTCAGTAATACACTTGCAATAATGCATAGATTAGTTCAGTGATCACTGGCCATAATGTACAGTCTAGCCCAGTGATCACTTGCAACAATGTACAGACTAATTCAATGATCACTTGCAATAATTTATAGCCTAGCTCAGGGATCACTTGCAATAATGTAAAGCCTTATTCAATGATCACTTGCAACAATGTAAAGAATAGTTCAGTGATCACTTGCAACAATGTAAAGAATAGTTCAGTGATCACTGGCTACAATGTAAAGAATAGTTCAGTGACCACTGGTAACAATGTAAAGAATAGTTCAGTGATCACTGGTAACAATGTATAGACTAGATCAGTGATCACTGGCAACAATGTATAGACTAGATCAGTGATCACTGGTAACAATGTATAGACTAGATCAGTGATCACTGGCAATGTATATATAGATCAGTGATCACTGGCAATGTATATACTAGATCAGTGATCACTTGCTATAATGTATAGACTAGATCAGTGATCAATTGCAACAATAGACTAGTTCAATTATCACTGGCTACAATGTAAAGACTAGTTCAGTAATCACTTGCAATAATGTATAGACTAGTTCAATGATCACTGGCCACAATGTATAGACTAGTTCAATGATCATTGGTAACATTGTAAAGCCTAGCCCACACTTGCCATGCATGCAGAAGAAACACACCAGGAAGGGGCATTGTTACTTACAGGATTGAAGAAATGTGCCTGCAGCATCCTGTTAGAGACACTTGCAATTTAGAGTTCCCAACTTTCCCCTCCGCTCTCTCCAGCCTCCACCTCTCCTGTGCCTTATACAACTCTACCAAGACTGCCAAGCTTATGTAAAGTCTTGTGTAACCAGCTGACCAATCACAGCGCCTGCATGCAAATCTGTGGAGCTGGGCAACCAATAATGCTGCAGAAGGGGTGTGGCGCATCGCTGTGCTGTGATTTACAACTGGAAATTGTGGAGGATTCTCAGGCAAGCAGAAATCCGATCAATAAGAAGAGAAATCTATCGGAGAATTATCTCCCCCCAATCGTCCGATAGTCCTGGGACTACTGTCCCCTTCATTAGGCCGTAGAGGAAGCAGGGTGGGGGAGAGGTACTGTGTGTAAGGGACGAGATCAGGGTACCAGGGACAAGAACAGGATTTTCTTAATATTTCTCATCATAGGGGATGCAATGGATGGTGATGAGTCCTGAGCTATAGTGGCAGGGCCTATTGACTGTTGGGAGCATGGCATGCATGTAGCGCTTTCCCCTAAGTGTTTTCACCTGTTATTGGATAGTTTGGGGGTCCGCCAAGGAGGGAGATAAAAGCTGGGAGTTCACACAGGGATCATACTCCTAGGAAGGACTGCAGAAGACGGAGGTTTTTTACAGCCTGGAAGATTCTCTGCAGCATCAAAGTCTCCTGGGTTGAGCAAATTCCTCTGAACCTGTCTGTCCAACATGGAAACAGAAGGTATTGTCATGAGCTTCAGACAACTGCTGGAAAGAAGTGTGGCATTGTGGCTTTTTCCCATCTTGACCTCTGAACAACCTCCATGTGACACAAGAGAATTACAGAGAGTGGTTCATCCAAGAAGCACTAGACTCTCTCCTCACCTGTGCACCAGCCCTATCAGAAGAACTACTAGTGCCAGCAAGAGAAGCATGCCTGCAGCACACGTGGGATCTGCAAGCTCCAGTAACACTTTCCACCCTTCAACAAAAAGCAGATGGAGACTCCGCACAATGCCAGCTACCGATCTCCTCCACGCTCCATCCGGAGCCCACCGCTCCTGGAGTCCAATGAAGGGGAGATCAGTCCCCCAGCAATCAATGCCTCCACAGCATGTCAGCTCTTTTCAGAGACAGAGCTCCAAACAGCAGCCAGAAGTAACCTGTGTCTCACGTTCAGACTCAGTGCCTGTAACCCTTTCAGTGCCTGCCTGCTGCACAGTAACTGCAGCTGCTGCTGACTTTCTCCCTGCAAGACACAGTGCATACAGCTGAGCCGGCTGCTGCTGCTGCAGCCTCAGCAACCCCTTTCACCTTCAGTCTCTTATTCTATCCCTTTAACTCTCACCCTGCCTGCCTTTTCATCTGCTTCATTAACTCTTTCACGTACGTTCTTCTTTCATCAACCATTTGCTGCCTGTATCCCTCTGCATGACTTCTCCCTTGGATGTTTCAGCCCCTCAAGGGAATGACAGGTGTCTGCAGGATCCCCTTTCCCTGGTCGATGTTGTAACCGCAGCTGGTCCTTCTGGAATATCAGCAGGATCCAGAGCCCAACAACACAGACAAGTCGAAGTTGAGAGATTGCCTCTTGGTCCGCAAACAGAAGACCCAATTAGTGAGATTGTAGATGAGTATGGGGTAGAGAGGCCGATTCTTCTGTTCCACATCTGTCTTATTAAATGTATCTTATTTGTGTATCACTCGGCTGTAGATCCTCAAATCATCTCTGAATTGGTGCTGACACTGTCCTTCCTTCTGGAGGGGGGCTACTTTTGTTCTCCATGGTCCATGTGTGTTGTAAAGTACTCAGTGCTCCAAGCACACTCCTGTGATGCACTACAATCTCACATTTAGTTTACTAACTTGTATTGAGACTGTAGTCCATCCCGGGAGTGAGTTTGGAGTGGTGACTACTTTACAACACACACGTGCCATGGTTAACAAAAGTAGCCCCCCTCCAGAAGGAAGGGCAGTGTCAGCACCAATTCAGAGATGATTTGAGGATCTACAGCTGAGTAATACCCAAATAAGATACATTTTTGTTAATAGTTAAGATACATGAATGTATTTTAAAGAATGAACTCCTGATTTAATGTCACATTAAGATTATTTTACCTTATATTTGCTCATCCACTTCCGAAGTGTTGTTGTTTAGGCTTTCTTTCTCATGGCCATTTCTTTGTGCCTTTCACATAAGTGAACTTGTCGCTAGGCTTAAATTACATCAGGGTGGAGTTAGAACTAGTAATGTAATTCTCATGGATACTAGCGAGTTCATCTTTATATCTCGTTCAAAATCTGATCAATCTGGTGGGGTAGGGCAGTTCTCCTACATGCCTGTGGTGTCCCGGCCTGCCCTGCCTTGTTGTCTCGGTATTTCATTTTGGTTCAAAACATTTTATTCCATTCAGATGCTACCTTTTTAAGCAGATTTCAGTTCCTATGTGTATTTCATTTATGCCTTTCCTCTTTGGGGATTCCCATACCTGGTTTCTCAAATCACTCTTTCCAGATTGGTGCAGCTACAATGGCCGCAAGTATGGGTTGTTCAAATTATGACCTTAGGCATTTAGGTAGGTAAGAGTTGTCCATTTTCATGTTATATGTTCAACCTCATTTGCTATTCTAATTTCCAGTCTTCCTCCACTCCTGGTATGGATTTTTTTGGTGAGTGGTACATCCACTGCGCTTGCCACAGAGCCGAACGACAACACTATGGGGTCTATTCACAAAGCTGCCGAGACTCGGCAGCTTTGTGAATAGACCCCTATGTGAAGAATTTGGTGTTCCCCTTTGATATTTCCAGGATGCACTGGTGTGGCACACAGGGTATGACATGGTTTCAGGTGTTGCAAGAGTGCCTTCAGTTACATAAGTTGTTTTAGTCATCCATGCAGGTGGAAATGATTTAGGCCGTGTTGGTTCTGTTGCCTTTATCACTGACATTAAAGGTGACTTAGCGCGTTGCTGTGCTGCCTTTAATAGTGTCTTTTTAGTCTGGTCGGACATTGTTCCCCGTTTGATTTAGGCTGACAATATTCCAAGCTCGGTTTTGGAAAAAAGCTGCAGAAAGGTCAACTCTCAAGTAGCGATGTTTGTTCGCAGGGTTGGTGGTACGGTGGTGAGGCATAGGGAGCTGGAAGTAAATAACAGTGACTTTCTCCGGTCTGATGGAGTGGATCTGAACTCCATTGGGCTGGATATTTTCAATCTAGGCCTTCACACTGGCATTGAAGATGCACTGGCTTCGGTGGGGTGCAGTGGGGCGCATGTGGCAGATTCTTTTTACCTTGCCAGTGAACAGGGTACCAGTTAGATGTCGTCAGTGGGCCTTGGTTACTTCTGTCCTGCACTTCAGGGTTAGGACAAGAAGGGAACACATGTTATGTTGGGTGCTCACAGGCTGTCTATGACTGGCATCAGTTTTGTGTTGTCAACAGAAAGTTTAACATTGTTTGGGTTTTGTTATGGCAAGTCACATAATTGTGTCAATAAAGCTGTGCCTTTGCCCACCCAAACTTATGTGTGTTTAGTGTCTTCTTTCAGATACATGGATGCAAAGTTTTCTGATGCATATTTTTCTTACTAGTGGGTATGCCTATGCTCCTCAGTCATGCTTCTTTTGTGAAATGTTTAGACGACACAATGAGACCAGAGCACTCAACGGACGCTATGCTTCTTCATTTTAAACACATGCCAGTACTGATTCCCATAACACTCCCATGACCACATGGCCCTCTTGGGAGCCCTAATCCCCATCCCATGACCACATTGCAGTCTTGGGTGCACTAATTCCCATCCCATGACTACATTGCAGTCCTGGGTGCACTGATCCCCATCCCCTGACCACATTTCAGTCTTGGGTGCACTGATTCCCATCCCATGACCACATTGCAGTCCTGGGTGCACTGATCCCCATCCCCTGACCACATTGCAGTCTTGGGTGCACTGATACCCATCCCCTGACTACATTGCAGTGTTGGGTGCACTGATCCCCATACCATGACCACATTGCAGTCTTGGGTGCACTGATCCCCATACCCTGACCACATTGCAGTCTTAGGTGCACTGATCCCCATACCCTGACCACATTGCAGTCTTGGGTGCCATGATCCCCATACCCTGACCACATTGCAGTCTTGGGTGCCATGATCCCCCTCCAATGACCACATTGCAGTCTTGGGTGCAATGCTCCCCATTCCATGACCACATTGCAGTCTTGGGTGCACTGATCCTCATTCCATGACCACATTTTAATCTTGGGTGCATGGATACCCTTCACACTTCCATGACCACATTGCAGGGCCTTTTCCCACCCAATGCATCTTGATGTGTTTTTTTCCTTTAAAAAAACGCATATACACAAAGACATAGTGGTTTTCAATGTAGGTCACCAGTGCATTGCATTTTGAAAAAAAATAGAGAATGCTGCTCTGTTTCACAGCGCAACGCATGCAAATGCATCTCTTTGAGGGCTTGTTCACACCATCTTCAGACCTGTGCAGTTTTTTCCATCTGCACCAAAAATGTATAATGGTTTTAAATGAAGCAAGTTCACACCATTGCGGTCACTTCTAGAGCTATTAATAAAGTATAGCAGCATGCTTTTTTTCACATCAGAACATGCATGTAAATGTACCAGAACACACCGGAACACTCTTAAAACTGAGCAATACCAATGTAAGAAAAAAAAAACACACCAGAACGCATCTAAAATGCTTAAAAATGTGTAAAAATACACACACACATGTGTATGCGGAAACTCATCCAAAACCGGTCTGGAGATGGTATGAACAACCCCTAAGGCTTTTGCGATTGGATGCGTTTATATGCATTTAAAATGCTTTTGTGAACACAAATATATGCATCTAATGAATTCCAATGGGTATACCTAAACCTTGCATCTAGATGCTTTTATCTGCGGTCAGTGGTATCTGCTTTTTCCAAAAAATAGAAGTCAGGTGCACCTAGGAACTGGTTTGAACTTTTAAAAGCACCAAAACGCGTGTAAACGTATGTTGATGTTAGGATTTGCTACCAGATGTATGTAAATGCATAGGCATGTAAACACGCATTATTTAAAGTATATAGAAGCACA